ATGTCTTTGGGAACAAGCAATAAGGAGATCCTCCCCAAAGTTTCCATGGAACGTACCCTGCTGGGGGTGGGGGGGGTGGGGGGGTGCTGGCGGTCTCTGAGGGCTTGACCACCTTCCTTTGGGGAGCCAGTAGCTAAGAAAACCAGATGATGAACCCTTCTTCTCACCCCCACTCTCAAGGAATGTGATGACCAGCTATTTCTCAGCCCTGGGGACTGGCTTGTGGAAACCAGGATTTTTAATTTTAATTATTTAGTTTAAAAAATATTTTATTCAGAGAGAGAGAGAGAGAGGAAGCACACAGGGGGAGAGGGAGAAACAGACTCCCCACTGGGGAAGGAGCCCGATACCGGACTCAATCCCAGGACCCTGAGATCATGACCTGAGCCAAAGGCAGACGCTTAACCAACTGAGCCACCCGGGTGCCCTGAAACCAGGATTTTAAAAAAGCGTATGCAATATCATTCAAGTTTGGACTTAAAAACTGATATACATTTATTTTTAATAGGTGAGAGACATACCAAAGCATTAAAGGTACTTCTCTTATGAGCTTCCTTTCTATAATAAGCACTATGGTCTAGATCAACGGTTCTTGAACTTTGGGGTGTGCCCAAATCACCTGGAAATCAAAAAATGCAGAGGCCCGGGCTTGTTGAAGCAGGATAGGACCCGGGCCTGTGTAGGTTTCCCCTTTCCCACAACACGAAGCTGATATGATCAGAGTTCAAAACCCACTGACCTAGCTAAAAACTCTGAGACCTACAAACAACAGCGCTGGGTTTGTCATCCATCCTGTCTAAGAGGGCTTCCTTTCCAACCAACAAGCCAATATTGCCACCCAGCCACTGAGAGTGACAAAACATGGCTCATGTGTTGGAAGGGAAAGCAATATTTGCTCAGCAATAGTTGTGGTTCACTGTCCTGATCCCTGTCTCCTCTCTCCGCAGCACCAGAATGACAAGGTGGGCTTCTGAGCCTCCTGGAGTAAAGATCAGACCCTCAGCCAGCTCCATGCTCATGGGGCCTAACCTAAATTATCCACTTTCTGCCCCTTAGTCCCTGCCTTGCTCCCCCTAAAATTGTCCAGGGGAGGGCACCTGGGTGGCTCAGTGGTTGAGCGTCTGCCTTCGGCTCAGGTAGTGATCCTGCGGTCCTGGAATCAAGTCCTGCTTCAGGCTCCCCGCAGTGAGCCTGCTTCTCCCTCTGTCTGTGTCTCTCTCTCTCTCTCTGTGTGTGTCTCAGGAATAAATAAAATCTATAAAAAAAAAAAAATTGTCCTGGGAGAGTGGATGCTAACAAGAGGGACTCTCCTTCCCACCGTCACCCTCCTCTGGTCCCTGCCAACTAGATGTCCCAAGCCCTGGGAGTGACCACAATGAGCCCAGCAGGCCCTGTGGGGCCAAGGGAAGGTTGTGTGTTTGCGGGCAGGGGGTGCTATTGCCCTGCCCCTCCCACCTTCCCTTGCCAGGTTCAGCCACTTCTCATCAGGGGTCACCCTGAGCACTGCTAACCATCAAACCATCAGGTGGACCACAGGTAACCACAGAAGTCAAACGGGGCATTCAGTGATGGGGGAGGCAAGTGGGTGGGCGAGCAGCAGGCAGAGAATCCAACTTCTTTCCCCCCTCAGATTGTTGACAGCACGAACTTTTTAGCTGGCTTAAGTCACGAATGGCTCAGCACTGTCCTTCACCTTTCAGATGGCACGTAGTAGTCTTTTCTGGGATACTTTCTTTTTAAAAAAGATTTTATTTATTTAATCATGAGAGACACAGAGAGGCAGAGACTTCGGCACAGAGAGAAGCAGGCTCCCCATGGGGAGCCCGATGTGGGACTCGATCCCAGGACCCCGGGATCACGACCTGAGCTGAAGGGAGATGCTCAACCACTGAGCCACCCAGGTGCCCCTTTTTGGGATACTTTCTACCAAAGTGTTAGTCAAGATGGTGTCAGCTGGGCTGCAGTAATTAACCCAGACATCTCAGTGGCTCAACACACGTGGGTATGTTTATTTATTTATCTATTTATTTATTTAGCTGATGAGAAGTCTGTTGTAAGCCAGGTGACTTTTCAGGACAGCTTGCCTTCTGGGTGGTGACTGCACGATTCAGGTTGTTTCCATTTTGTGTCATCTCAATACGTGGCCTCCACGATGGCCCGTCACTGTGTCAGTGGAAAAGAGAGCTGGAGGGTTGTGCCCCAGCTCTTCAATGCTTTGGCTCAGAAGTGGCACATATTGCTTCCACTGCCACCCACTGGCCAGTTAGTCACGTGCCCCAAACTAATTTTTAGGCGAGGCCGGGAAAGTCCTCTTCCTAGGAATCCAGAAAAAGGACAATAAAGTAAGAGTTGATGAAAACAATTGTCTCTGCTACTCTAAACCTCATTTTAAAAAGATTAAAGGCAATAATTTGAGATTCCTGTTAGTATATGGTACTTTTTGGGGTTTTCAGTAGGCTCCAGACCCAACATGAGACTTGAACACACGACCTTGAGATTAAGAGTCACACGCTCCACAGACCGAGCCAGCCAGGCGCCCGCCATATATAGTATATGAAAAGCCCCTGAGTAGTGTTGCGGTGAATAGGAAATCTGTGTTTCATCCATCATTGCCCAAGTTATTTTTGTCATCGAGCCCTTTTCCTAAGTGCAATATTCCTTGGAACTGGTCCTTGGAACTGGTATACTGAAGCGCAAACTTGTCCTAAAGAAGTCAACTATGGCTTGTTTTAACCACTCGTAGTGCACCTGTGCCTGCAACACCAGATGCCCCTGGCAGGATCCCAGAGGACACCACCCCAGCCACCCTCCTGTGGTCAACAGCTCCTTTGTGGAGCCTCCCCTCCCCACTTCCTGTGGTTCACACCCGGTCAGGCAGCCTTTTCCAGGAACTTATGGCAGCCAGGGGTGGGCCTCAGTCACAGATGCTTATTGAGAAGGGACCGGAGTTCAACTTCCGACCCAAGGAAGAATTCATTCCCTATCTAAATTTATTCCTCATCCTAAAATGTTCAGGATGAGGCCCTTCCCCTCTGCTGGGTTCCTCCAGAGGCCAGGCGCTCACTCACTTGCCAAGCCTCCTCTGGCATCATGGGGGCAGGTCAAGCCTCCCGCTGGGACCCTGCTCCCCACGAGGCCGGCCTAAATCCTCCAGAGCACGAGAGCAAAGCCAGTTCCTCATGTGACAGACGTCTGAGGCCCCAACAGCTCTCCCTTCAAGTGTCTGTGACCGTTTCCAAACTCCTCACGGCCCTACCCTCCACCCCCAACCCCATCGTCATCTTTTGGGTTTGGGCTCGGCCTTCCAGCTTCTTGAGATCTTCTGGAACCTCGATGGGCAGAGTCCCGTTGGCAATCAGGCACTCTTTCTAGGTTTGTGTTGCCGGCAGGCAAACCCAATGAGCGTCCTTCCGTGGTTTCATCCAAATCACTGAGCAGGCCTGAGTGAATCTGGAAAGGCAAAGGTTGGGGAGGGCAGGGAAGAACACCTACTGGGCTCACTCGCCAACCCTCTCAGAGGTCAAGTTCACTCAGCTACTGTCCTGCTGGCCCAGCCCCTCCTGTTTCTGGAACCTGCTCCCTCTACCCCCTGCCATCTTTTATTATGGTTCCCCAGGGGCTGCCACGTTCTTACCAGCCCTGCTCCCTCCGCCAACAGCTAACTGGCCCAGACACAAGCTCATCGCCCGAACTGTGGCCTTGGCAAAGGATCTAGTCAGTGTCTCCCTAAAGCGAAAGATGTTGTATGTTTTTGGTCTGAAGGGAAATGTTGGTTGGCAAGGGGAGAGAAATAAGGCTGGCGTGTGATTAGGGCACAGGGTGCCCCAGCGCAGTGCCTGGCCCGGTGGGAAGGGCAGACAGGCGGGGCTGTTAGTTGGCTCTTCATGAGCTCTCGGAGCTCAGGCACGCATCCGGCACAAATGACAGATGGGACAAATAACAAAAAGAGTACAAGTTAGGTGCCTTTGCTGATGAAATGCTGCCCTTGCACATTTACTTAATGGAACGTATCAAACATTCAGAGAAAAGCACCCTCTTTGCCGCCCAACACTGACCCAGCAGGCCCAACAGCAAACCCTGCCTGGGTGGTCCAGAACCACGGCCCTGGACGTGCCAGTGCTCCACCACCTGCTGGCCTCCCCTGCGGACCTGCACCTCTCCCTGTTCTCAGAGGCACTAGGGGTGCTGCCGTTGTCCTCCCCCCTCCCTGGCCTGGTTCAAAATGTGGCCCCTGCTCTGACTTAGCAGCTCTCTAGGGAACCCAAGAGCTGTTTCTTGCCAAGTGGCAAGAGGCAGCGAGCAGGCCTCTCAACGGTGGCCTGCAGCCCCTCGCGCTCCCTTGGGTTGGGGTAGGCCCAAGACACAGAGCTTCAGGGGTGGGGGCCCACAGTCCTCAGGGACGCTCCTGGTATCCTGCCGAGGCAGGGGCATGGGGTGGTGGCAGGCAGGGAGAGGGAGCCAGTCCCAGGGCTTTGTGAGTCCTCCCTTCCCGTGAGGCAAGAGAAGGAACCTCCTTCTGCTCTTCCACCAGATGGAACGGGGGAAGGAGAGGAAGCAGCACACTGGCAGGATTCTAAATTCCAAGCAGACTGGCCTCTGGGCTCATTCCTCGGCGTGTGGATAGATGGATTATGTGTCCGACACACTCAGATCCTGGCCTTCCTAGCCCTGCGCTGGCAGAGTTACTGAAGTGGTTTTAACCCCTTCATGGGCTCCGTGGTCCAGCGTCCTCCTCACTGTCCCCCTCCCCAAACTCTGCTGGAGTCTCATTCTCACCATGGGGCATTTCGGTCCCAACCTGGCCAGCTTCCTGGAATTCAGCCCAAACCAATTCTTCTAGGGACTCTGGACAGTATTTCAAAGAACTTTATCCTGCAGCCACCAAGGAGGACATCCCAGCCCCTGGACCCTGTGGCAGGCAGCGTGTCCCTCCTACTCGCCCTCCTACAGCCAAGAGGACAGCTGGAGTGACCCCTTGTCCTCAAGAAGACGAAGCCGACTTTCAGGTCTAAAACTATCTTTATTTGTCGTTGGCGCCACATAAGACGCCATCATCAATCAGCAGAATTATAAAACTGTACAGGAGGTACAAAAATAGGCTGTTTAACTTAATTACCCTCACATCAAGCTTTAAAAATACACATAAAAATTGTACAATCTGGCAGTTTATAAAATATAAAGCTAAAAAGAGGATTGTAGGTTCACAGAGAGGATTCTATCACACAATTAACACATACCCATTAAACAACCGTCCACAGAGAAGACACAATGGCACAGAATTTGTTTAAAAAAAAAATCACTCAGAAATGAAAATTCTTACCCTGACCAAATTTTTCACCCTTTAATGATAAAACTACTGTGGGGCGTCCATCCTGTGGAAAAATCCAGCATAACTTTTCCTTTTCCAGTTTTAGAGTGGTCAGGGGTGTGTTGTCCAAAACAAATCTGATGTGCTTTAAAAGCCAAGTGCAATTATAACTGGATATATTTCAGAGTAAAAATTAAATAAATATAAATAGGTTAAATAAATAGATCATTGCAAAAAGAACACTACGTAAGGTCTGCATCTGAGAATGCCTCTTGTTGACTGGTAATGCTTTCTAGGTAAGTGGGGACGCCCCCGTCACAGCTTTTGGGATACTGAAAAGGAACACTGTACCCACCAAAGACAGGGCGAGGTGAGTGGGCTGGGGACTTTGGCCAGAAGTGTAGGTTAAGGCTGCCCCCGTGGGAGGCTCATTGCAGATGTGCTGTGGTTGTCCAATGAATACAGAAAGGATTTACACGCTAATACAAGAAACTGGAACCAGGGTTACCCATGGGGAAATCAATGTTTCATAAAGAATACAATGTATAGGATGGAGGGATACTTTGTTTTAAAAGATACTGGTCCAGCCTTGGAAGGCAGAACTGTGGCTCACCTGTATGGGACACTCAGTGACTTTCTTCCAGGAAAGGCCCAGTGCCAGGCCTAAGAGGACTACTCCAGGATGGTGAACGAATCAGCAAGGAAAATACACAGGGATATGTGAAGAAAAGGGATTTCGGAAACTAAATGAGCAGAGAGAAAGCTAAAGCGAATTCAAAGAGGCTCTTTACAGGTGTGCTGTGCTCCCTCTCCCTGCTCTTGTGGCACGGAAGGCAGAAGTAGAAGCGGCCTTCCTTCCTCGAGGACCTGGAGCCTGAGGATCCGATCACCAGAGCTGGAGAATGGGAGCGGACTCAGGAAACCCACACCTGGCCAGAGTCCACCTTCTAAAAGAGACAGCGGCCAAGAGCAGAAAGGCCTACGACCCAGAGGCCCCCCATTCTGCGAGAGGTCAGATCAGCAGCCAATTCATCTTGCACTGCCGTGAGAAAGAAACGCAACGGTAAACAAATCGCATTCACACAAACCCTACCAAAAGCAGATTCTGATCAAGACCTCTCCCGTAGAGTTGGTAGAAAGAGAATACTTTGCTGGGCCCACTAACCCGTGGATCTTCCACTACGTGTTAACAGGTCAGAGTGAGTCTCGCTGGCAAGAGCCTCGGGTGGCTATGGCACGGAGAGGGGGAGGAGAGTCCCTCTGCACCCGGGGTTTGAGGTCAGCCGCTAGCTGATTTAGTGACTTACCACGACACCAATGACTCCCCAAAGTGCAAGTGCTCTGAGGCCTTAGTGACGCGTGAGCTCTTGATAAACTGAAGTTAAAAAGACTCCAGGAGCAACAAGAGAAACTCTGGCGGGTGTGCCAGAGGCAGATGCAACACAGGCTTCACCACAGGATTTAGTTACAGCTTCCCCGGGATTCCCAACAGACGTGGCCACATTCGGTTATAAAAATGACGATAGTGTGTACTTCTGAGAAGTCACACAGCCTTCCAGGAATCGTGCTAAAGATCAAACAGCTCCGCTGTGACAGGATGCCTGAGGCTGCAGAACCCTGTTCCAGCAAAGGACAGAGACACTTTATCACGGTGCTGAGCACAACAGGAAGCCCGAATTCTAGAGACTAGAACGAGATGTGAGAGACGCTGCCCGAGGTGTGCTCATGACAAGCGTCCACACGAGACCTCTTCAAACCACTCAAGGGACCGTGGAGGGACCATGGAGGGACCAGGTTCCTAAAAGTAACAGAGAGAAGACCGATGGAGGATGGCTTCTCATTGTCCCTGTCACCTCTTACGGAAGCAGAGGTTTTGCCGGTCTCGGTCACCTCCGAGTCCCCAGCACCCGGGATCCAGCCTGGCTCACTCAACGAGGACTCGAAATAAAATACATTGAGTACATGAGTTTGAGAAGGTGGGTGGTTAGAAACAAAGACGATAAGCAGAAAAGGAGTTAAAAACCAGTTGCCTGGCGACAAGCTGGGCCCAAACAGGGAGAGGACACAAGCCCCGGCAGCCAGAAGTGACCTGGCAACTCTCCCAAGGACACTGTTCAGCCATGAGACCAAAGCAGCAGAGAGAGCCGACAGCCCGGTCCACAGCTTGTGGCACCTTCTCCACCTGACTGCCGGGGGGTGGGGGGTGGGGTGGCCATCACCACTCAGGCCCAGCAGCAAAGTGACCGCAGGGCCATAGGGACAATGGTGCAGATGCATCAGAGAGGGGGAGGGCAGGCATCTGGCCGTGTTCCTGAAAAATGGGCAGCGTAGCAGAAGACGCAGTGATGCCAGCCAAAAACCGCCAGGGTCCCAAAGTCTGCGTGAGGTAACGGATGAGGTTTAAAGGCGTAGGATGATGTTAATTTAAGAGGAAAAAGTGACTTCAGGCATTCTGAAAGGGAACTGAATTCTCCAAAGACAGAAGGGGAGCTTTGGACGAGTGGCCCGCAGGCAAACCCACCACCGGAAAGCATCTCACAGAAGCGACAGCGAGTCGAGTCGTGGGTCAGTCAGTAGCATCCCAACTCCTGAGCGGAGTCTCTGGGTTCACCAGCGCTGAGCGAGGCGCCGTGATCCACTCACCCGGCTGGACGAAGGACATGGGGGACATCTCCTTACACTGCACCCTGATCACATTTAACCGCTAAGGCTCTCGGTAGAGAAAAGACAGGAATTTTGGACTGAAACTAAAGCTAAAAATCATACTAATTTTAGCAAAAAAAGATGGTAGTGACATAATTTAGGGAATATTACTTTGAAGTTGTTTAATGGACGTACATAGCCTTGCTATAACGTTTTACTCTCCAGCATCAGGGCGCGTTCTGAACGTGAACGCTCTTTCTGGAGGGGATGGAGACTTTTGGTATCACACAAAATAGAAACCGTATTACGTGTCTTGCCTTTTATCTTCTTCACAAGTAAGCTCCAAGTTCAGCTTACTTATGCTAACGTAGCATTCTACAGTATGATCAAAATATAAAGTTATTAAAATCTGCCAAGAGAAACATAAAAGCCTGCCCACGAAGCAGGTGGTAACCCTGGTCTCAGCGCCCAAATACGCTGGCCTGTCTTGCTGGCTCCAGGGACGGAGGAGCCTCATTGCCCACTTGCTGGCCCGGGACTCTTCCAGGGTAGCTGTGTCCCATTTGGCCTGCTCCCCTCTGGTCCCCAGTAGGCCTGTTCCTGCCGGGTGCTGCTCTCCTTTATGGGGAACTTATTACCTCTTTCCCCAAATGCTCCTAAACATCCCCCAGAATCCACCAAAGGTCACCATGCACTGGGCTATAAGGCTCAGGACAGAGCATCCTCTTCATTTCTAAGAGATCTGCAGAATGCCTCGTCTTCCAGTCTGTGTTGCTGACCTGCTCCAACACTGCGCCCCACACTCGAAACTCTCACTGCCCCGAAGGAACTCTGATTAGAGTGACCTGGGACACTTGGGGCACGTTTGTGATGAGAGGCATCACCAATCCCCGGGAATCACCCCTCTGAACAACTTCCTCCTCCCTCAGCACTCGCCTCTGGAGCCCCACTTCAAGCAGAGGCTGCACCTGGTGCATCTCAGCCTAGCTGGTCGAGGAAAGACATCCCACATGCAGGGAAAACTCGGGATTCCCTCCTTGCTCTTCCTCAACAGGCCCACAGGTGGATATCAAACAGGAAGTTTAAAAAAAAAAAAAAGGTGTAAGTCTGAAGCCAGTGAGTCCAGGAGAAGGTGGAGGATGCTTCTTTCGCTGCCTCTGGGATGGGCCCTCCTTGACTGAGGACCCCCCCATTGTAAAGCTTTTGTGGCCAGCATCTTCTCAGCCCCCTACAGGTCAGAAGGGGTCATGGTTCCCACTTCCGGGGTCGGCATCATCCCCTGCGGGCTGCAGGGTGGGCAGCTCAAGGCACTTGGTTTGGGAGCCTGGTTTCCCTGCGAAGCTGGGAGGCGTCAGGCTCAGACTCATAGAGACCAGGCCCTCAGTGACAGCTGGGGCCACCAGAATGGAGGGCCACCCTGGCTCAAAGGGTGTCTGGAGTCACTGGAGGCCGAGGGTCCGGGGGCTCGTGGAAGTAGTAGGGCTGGAAGAGCCTCTCATGGCTGCAAGGCTCCATGGCCCGGTATGTGTGGGAGAGCAGGTGGGGGAAGCGGGACGTGAAGTAGCGCACAAAGTCATCAGGGAGGGAGCCCAGTGTCTCCCGCACCTCCGTGGGGAGCTCCCGGTAGTGGTGCTTCTGCAAACATGGGGACACACAGACACAGAAGTTAGCAGGTGGAAAGCCCAGGGAACCCTGGTAAAAGACTCTCCTACTATTCATGGGACGGAGGATGCTGGCTGGTTCTCTGTTGAGGAGAAAATGCTCACGTACCCAGCAGTGCATCAGCCCACCTTACCTCCTTCCCCTCAGTCCGGTGGAGGCCTCAGAGCAGAGTTAGGCCCAGGGCTGGGGAGGCAGGAAGGAGCTTCCCTACCAGAGTGGCCCTACTGCTGGCCAGGCTTGGGGGACAGGGGGAAGGTTCCCATAAAGGGAGTTTATACGGTGCTGTATTAGCTAGGGACAGGGCCCATCCAAATCAGCAGAGACCACAAATGACACCAGCATCCAAGAGCCTGCTTCCCAGAGCAGAACTCCTCACCTCCACAGCCCGGAAGAGAAAACTTGCCTAAGGGAACAAGTTGCCCCTGCAAGGTGCGAATTCTAGTATGAATGGGAGGACCCAGAGACAATAGAAAGGAGGAAGGTGGCTGTACCCCTATCCCTGGGCCCCTTACCTTGTTTCTCATGGCTCGGAGGAGGTCTCGGACGGAGCCGCCTTTATAGGTTCTGAATTTCCGCAAATCTAGGAAACACACAAGGAATGCAACATAAGAAACACATTCCTAAAGAAGAAAACTCCTGGGGCTCCTGGGTGCCAAGCGATCAGACTGAAACACAACATAACTGCACCAAACTTGTGGCTCACAGGAGTGGGTCCCCCAAAGTGAGCCTGAGGACAGCACCAGTTTGAATTCTGCCTTGTGGCTGCACCCACAGTCACGCATAACTACTAAGCACGTGGCACCCGTCACTAACCTGTCATTTGAAGAGACAAAAATGAAACCCACATCAGCGTAATGGGGTGATTTGTGCCCGAACCCCAGAGGACACACCCACAAAAGCCTCAACTCTGTGAGGGGGACTTCAGAGCCCAAACGGCCTGAGCTGCTAGTTCCACGTTCACTTCTTAGAAATGGTTGCTGCTCCTGAAACGTTTCTGGCAACGCGTACTGTCGGGGCTTTGGCGCGGTCACCTGTCTGCAGGGGGACGGTGATGTTCTCCCTCCAGTCCATCTTCACCACAGATCTCCCGCCCCGCTCCAGCTGCTTCACTATCGGGCCATCCAGGGATTCCTTCTCTATTCGGTCGCTCACGTCCTGGGAGGGTGACACGGGAAGTAGATGATGGTCAATGTGTAGAGAACCAGAAGCTGGAGGAATGACATGCCAAGTCACAGGATGGTCACTGCCACATGAGCCTCCAGCCCAAGCTGAAGCCTGCCTTGGGACTGGCAGCGAACGTTCTGCCTCTGTCCCTCCTGATCCAGCAACCTCTCCCCTGGGAGCAGCCATGTCTATAGCTTGCTGGGGAGAGACCCACACAGACCATCTCCGTGACAGAGAGGGGTGTCACACCTCTCCATGAACCCTCATGCCTCCTCCACGTCTCACTCCATGCATACCTATCACATTCCACATGAGCCGTATATGCAATCTGTGTTCATCAATGAACCAACAACAACACAACAACACCAGCTCAATTTTGATTTGCATCTTGTGCTGTTCTGTTTACCCAGGGAAATTGGACACGCTGAGATCCATAGCCAGTCATCACTTGTCACGCAAACAGAAAAGACAGATAAGCCCTCTTTTAGAGGAGGAAAGCTGCTGATAAGAGTGTGGGCTCTGGAGGCCCTGCCCAGGACTTGAACCCTGCTCCATGTCTGAGGGAGCACAAGTTCCAACAGCTGAGGAAATGGAGTGATAGGCCCCACACGTGTTAACACTGCACAGACTCACTGAGCACGGTCTTTTCTTTCTTTGATAAAGATGAAGCCAGATTGGCTGACTCTCAGACTTACAACTGCTAGAGGAAAGCCCTGGAGGGATTAGATCGTCACCTTGGATACTCTGGGGACATACACTTCCACCACAAAACCAATACCGCTACTTGATATGGCGGGAAGCGGGTGTGTTCACAAGATATAGGACTTAGAGAAACTAAGAGTTTAAATCCCAACCCTTGGTGGGCTGGAAGTCCCTTTGTGTGAGCTTTATTCCTGTTCTACACCTTGTCATCATCAAAGGAACACGGCTAGTTTTCAGAAGTCCTTTGATTGAGGACACCTGACCTCAGAACTGTCATGTTATGACCCAAAACACAGCGACCAATCCTAATGCTACCCATGCCCACTGCTGCCATGGAAAATGACATGAAACCCTCCCCTGCCCCAACCATCCAAATACTTACCAAGCACCTGCCATGTGCCAGGCAGGCAATGACCCAGGCAGTGGAAACACAGCAATGAACTGAAAATCAGCTACTACCTGCCCTCAAGGAGCTTACATGCCGGAGGCTTCACCACAACCAAGGCTCTAGTCACACTCCGGAACAGTTTGAGGGTCACTCCTAAACTCAAGCTTCACTCCGACCTAGAGCCGGTAGGAAAAGCACTGCCCCTGTGTGCCTGCTTTTCAAAGCTGGTGTGTTGGGTAAGAGGTGTTCAGACGAGCTATGTTGAACTGATACCTGGGAGGGTTCTGAGAAACATGTTCCCTTTCCACAAAGCCACTGGCAGGCAATACCACAAAAGTCTTAAAACAGCCAAACTACTGATGGAGCACATATCTACTGATCCTACGGTTTAACGTCTCAGAATCAACCTTAAGCAAAAAGAAATCTGGACAGAAATTGGGTAAAAGAGGATAGAAAGACTTCAATATGTCTTTTGTTATAATTTTTTAAATCTGGAAGAAGTCACATGAAGGCTTTAAAAACATAAAAACAAAAAAACAAAAAACCAAGAGAACTACCTGAAAGAACTGGAGCTGCTTTTCCAGGCTCCAGAAGAACGGATGTTTTAGCACATGCTTTGCAGAAGGGCGTTTCTGGGGATCCATTGCAATCATCTTCTCTATTAATTCCCGGGCAATGACATCTTCTACAAAGGAGGAAGATAAACAAGTAACTCACTATCACTGGCCTACAGTCACAATAACATACCCGAACCTTAACAGCACACGTGCCTTTTGATTTAAGATTCTACTGACAGGAGCTTGTTACAATAACATTAATTAAGAACTTGCACAGGGGGATCCCTGGGTGGCGCAGCGGTTTGGCGCCTGCCTTTGGACCAGGGCGCGATCCTGGAGACCCGGGATCGAATCCCACATCGGGCTCCCGGTGCATGGAGCCTGCTTCTCCCTCTGCCTGTGTCTCTGCCTCTCTGCCTCTCTCTCTCTCTCTCTCTGTGACTATCATAAATAAATAAAAAATTAAAAATATTTAAAAAAAAAAAAAAAGAACTTGCACAGGGATGTCTGGGTGGCTCAGCGGTTGAATGCCTGCCTTCGGGTCAGGGTGTGATCCCAGAGTCCTGGGATCGAGTCCCACATTGGGCTCCCTGCATCTGCCTATGTCTGCCTCTCTCCCCGTCTCTCATGAATAAATAAAATATTAAAACAAAAAAAAAACTTGCACAAACTTCAGCTGATAATGGGTGTCCTCAAAGCACAGTCTTTGAAAAGGAGTAATTGGAAATATCCACTATCAGAGGCTCCGGTAACAATGCCTCCAGGTCTGGGCTGTGCTCTTAAAATGATACCCAGGTGGAGCACCAGTCAACATGGAGAGATATTCAATAGCATGTACTATTTAACTATTTAACTGCATGTTTTACAAAAGGATGCATTCCCGTCTAATTAGATGAGTAGAATAAGATGTACAAAGATACTCATAGCAGGAATCCATCACTGTGTAATGGAATTGTGGGTCTTTATGCTATCCTATTTTTTCTACATAGAATAAGGAAAATTAATCCATGAGCAAAAGAATACTTTTTTCCTCTAAAGATTTTTATTTATTGGGAGAAAGAGAGAGAGAGAGAGAGAGAGAGAGAGAGAGAGAGAGAGAGAGAGAATGTGCATGTGTGCACTTGTGAGCAGAGGGAGGGGGAGAGGGAAAGGGAAAATCCTAAGCAGACTCCACACTGAATATGGAACCCAACATGGAGCTCGATCTCACGATCCTGAGATCATGACCTGAGCTGACATCAAGAGTCAAATGCTTAAATGACTGAGCCACCCAGGTCCCCAAAGGTCCCCCAAACCTTGCCCAGGTTACATAGGTAATTGGGTGACCTGAAGGAACCTCAGAGCTGCCTGGCTTTAGGAGAAGATGCTCCAAGGCAACCTACCCAACCTCCTACCAGCTTTAGAATGAGTCAGCAATTCACTGAGGCCCACAGGGCAAGCAGATGGAATGAAGGGGCTCTGGGGTCACAGAGCCGGCACCTCCCAGGCCACAGGGGCCACCTAGGCAGCTGGAGTAGCTGCTGCACCCTCCTGCCTTGCTGCCCGCTCACCGTGTTTCTCAGGATGTAAGCAGTCGAGGTTGTAGGCACCCAGGAGGATGTTGGCCTGCCGCTGCAGGGACTTGCCAAAAGGGTGGCTGCCCTCGGATATCACATAGTAAAAGACACAGCCCGCAGAGAAGATGTCCACTGTATAGGTCTGAAAAGAGATATAGGGTGTGAAAGGCCTTCTGGAGAATTCTCCCTCTCACTCAGCTACAGTAGTGAGGATGGGAGTGTTGCTGCTTCTCCCACCTTGAAGGGGTCTCGGGAGACCCAACTAGCATGCTGGAAGTGGCCAGAGCAGCACCAGCACCCTTCTAGGGCTGCGTGAATTTTGGGGGCACAGCAGGGAACGTGGGCTCTAGAGCTGACTGGCTGGGCCTGGAAGTGATGGGAAAAGCTGAGGGGAGCAATTACCCACATTTGTCCCTTTCATTCGTCTGAACGTGAGACTGTATGGAAAGTGCCAGCAGCATGCTGTTCACGTAGAAGCTCTTTGATAAAGAAACGTCATTCTCCAGCTACAAGTGCCACAGCCCCTAAGTCTTGAATTTGGAGGCTGTCACTCCTGAAGACGCATGGGGCTGGTCCTGAGGCTTTCTGAGGGCTGTGCCCAGTACTCACCGGGTTATCCTTGCAGTCTTCACTCAGCATCTCTGGAGCGATCCAGCCTTCTGTGCCCGGGACTCCTGAGCGGCGGCTGAAACTGTGTCTGCCTACCGCCAGCTTCTTGCAGAGGCCGAAGTCAGAGATCATGGCCTTGATCCTGCCATGTGCGTTGGGCATGGAGAGGAGAATGTTGTGGGGCTTCAGGTCTCTGTGAACTAATGTAACACTCCAGATTAGCTCCACGTTTACCGTGAGTAATGTCAGGGAGTACACCCTTCTCAGAATCCCAGCAGACCTGCTGCCACCTCTAAGGGTTCTGGTCTGCGACTATGAAAGATTTCTCCTCACGTTCTTATTGTTAAAAGACCACCTAAAAACCCCACATGCATAGAGCAGTGAAACAAAGATTCTCAGCAGGGGCAAGGACCACCCTAGCAGGTGGGCTACTGCTACTACCACCACTGTCGCTGCTACTGCCGCCGCCGCCGCCGCCGCCACCAGCCACCACCACCCCACCCCGGGGTGTGGCCTGGTAAAGGGAAGCTTCTCACCGATGTTGAGGGAGTGCAGATGGGCCAGACCAGAGGTGGTCTGCTGCAGCAAGGTGATGGGCTCCAGGCCGAGGTGGGCAAAGTCTTTCTGTTCCACGTACTGCAAGAGACACGATGGCCAGGTCATGCGCAAAGCGCTAAGGGATGGGCCCCTCTGCACACACAGCACTTTCTTTCAAGTGATTCAATTTTATTTAGAAAAGTCCTGCCTGCAGGTTTTTGCTTTAGTTAATGTTCGGGATTAGGTCAGCTCATTTTCTTTGATCCTATTTTAAGAAAGAGACAGGAAGTTTTACTGACAACATTCTCTGCCCAAATCTACATCTGCCACCAGACTTTCTCCTGAAGCCATGGGCTAGCTTAAATAAACACAAGTTCCAATAGACTAGTGTACAGTGATAAAGATAAGAGGACAAGGAACTCAAGTCCATTGCAAGTGAAACCAGCTGATACCAAGATAGGTTGATGGTGAGCCTGGAAACAGAGCAAAAGGTGTTCACTGGATGATCTCAATGTGATGACTCCTCAGCCAGTATCCTGCAAGCCCACACCAGCCCTGACTGGTGATGAGAACTGCGAACCCCTCCAGAACAAGGGGTTCCTGGAGGCAGAGGGAGAAGATACAAACTGCGAGCAAACACCGCCCCACCCAAGTAAAGCTGGGGTGCTAAAATGCTCTCCATTTTGATGGTTTGTGGTCAAATGGGCATGTGCCCCTGTCAAATGCACCACAGTGTTCATTTAAAGGAGTGCATTGTGTTGTCACTTCAATAAAGTGAATATGAAGAAGTAAAAGAGGAAGAAATTGCAGTCCCTCAAGTCACCATGGCTGGGAGGAGGGAGGCTGCAGCGATGATGGCAGAGCTGCCTCTGGGGCACCCACCTCCTGCAAGGTGGCTGCACACAGCTCGATGGCAATGTACTGGAACTGCCGGTCCCTCTCTGTGCAGAAGTAACGAATCACATTGGGGTGCTCATCTGATTCTCGAAGCAGCTGGACTTCACGGTCAGCGAAACTAAAACACTCGGGGAGGATCCTCTTGACGGCCACGTCGCGGTTGTCAAACATGCCCCTGAGGATGAGGATCAGGGGTTGGTTTGGAGAGGCAAGCCAAGCAGTAGATATGAGACCCACAGACCCACAGTATTCCTCATCCTGTGACGCAGCTACCTTGTGAGCTTCACAGCCCTGACCAACCACCAGGCGGCTATCACTTCCTCCCCGGAGGTAAACTCCTCCGTCTTGGTCACTGCACTCCTCTGGAGCCTGACATGCTACCTGTAAGCTGACAGGTACTCGGACAGGAGGGGAAGTTACAGAGCTCTCCAATCCACTCACCGGTACACAATTGTGCCCTCAGCTCCATGACCCAGCACGTCCTTGGGACAGAATGAAATTTTCCCAACTATCACCATGCTCGTTTCCTCATCTGGGACAAAACAGGAAGAAATTGTTTTAAACAAACATAACCTAAAACACTTTGAGGCTAGAATGGTGCCAGCTTCTTGAGCTCTGATTCAGATATGGGATCTTGCAGGCTGTGTGTTCCCAGCCCTTGGTAAGCAAGAGCCGGCGAGGTCTACTCCCCACTGACGCCCAGGGCCATGCCCCCACCTCCCTCCTGCTTCCTGCCCCCTGTTCCTGCCCCTGCATTACTGTCAGGAGATGGACTCTCCACAGATCCATCAGCGTTTTGCACCTGAAGCCTTCAGGAAGCAGCAATGGGTGTGCAATAGTGACTGGGGGGAGCCTCCAGGTTGAAACTAGGGCTCAGGTCTCTTGCAATAGCTCTCCATCCATCCCCTCAGAGTATCGCCTTGATAGCCAGCCTGAGCCAACCTCCCCGAGGAATGGGGATCGCCACCGGCAGCCCTCAGAACATTCTCAAGCCAGATACCCAGGACCTCTGGTCAGCAGCAACTGTCTGCTCTTACAGAGCAAGATGGAGGGAGGGCAAGGTAGTCCTCAAAAGGCCCCCTGAAGGGGCAAGGCCCTGGGATGGCGTGGAAGTCCAGCTGTCGGAGAGGGAATTAGGTGAGAACACAGTGCACTCTCAGAAATGGCACCCCATAACCCCATTGAGACTCCCCGGGAGGACATGGAACTTTAAGGTCCTCAGGCCATATTCAAATGAAAGAGAAAACAGCACCAAAACAGCAACTGGCTTTACCCTCATCGTCCTGTTCCAGAAAGGGGCTGCTGCCAGCCTTGGAGGCAGAGCCACTGGAGTGGAGGGAGTGATTAGAGGCTCTGGGGGATGTGTTGGGGCTGCTGGTGCCTGAGCTCTCCGAGTACAGGCCGGATGAGTCCAAGAGCTCAGCATCCTGAGCCACATCTCCAGGTGGATGGAAGGGCAGCTGCTGCTGTTGCAGGAGCTGGATTTTCTCTAGTTCCTTCTGGAACTGCTGGTGCTGGAGCTGCTGCTGCTGATGCATGCTCTGGGAAGAGAGAAACGCACATCCAGACAAGTGCAGCCTGATCCCCGGGACATAGGCAGTCTGGCAGGAAGAGGCTCCCTATGGCAGAGGAAGCAGGTACCCTTTATGTGACCCCACAGGTGGGCCAAAACCAGTGAGAAGGCACAGGAGGCAGGAGGGTTCAGTGACTGGGGATCTTCTTGCCAGTTAGGATTTCCTAGGACAGCCCATTCCCCCTGTTGGAGGGGCCTGGCAGGGGCAAGAGGGAGGATGCTGCTGTAGGTGGAGGCTGGGCCAGATCAAGGTGGGTGAGGGGGTGGGGGGTGTCCATTCAATTCTAAAATTCTGGGACTTTTATGAAGGTCTAGGAGTTGTTACAAAAATGAAACCAAACAGAGCACGGTGGATACAGGAAGACCTGGGGTTGCTCTCTATTATGGTTGTACACTTGATAGAGACTAGCATAGAGATGGTCACCAATCCAGGCAGGAAGCAGCTGGGGCTCACAACCTCACAGCCAGAATACAGCTGAAACATGTGGTCTGGCCAAGGTCCCACTCCCCCCATTTCATCATGCTGCCTTCCCCACTCCCCTCTCATCTATTCTGGAAAATCTGTTCCATCATAATTTGAAGTAGTAGTGATCCACGATTATTACTACCTATGTGTGGGAAAGGCCCTGAAGGGATGGGTTTGAAGCCAACAGCCCCTGGGACTCTTCTGGCTCTCGTGTACACCCCCACTCTCTCTCTCTCTCTGAACTTGAGTTCAAGTCCTGGAAAACCTTGAATAACCTTGGGAAAGTTCTTTAACTTCCTAGAGCTTAGCTTCTTCATCTGTGGGTTGGGCACAGTAATAATGACCTCACAGAACTGTGTGAGGTAAAATATAAATATTTTTATTATATATATATTTATAATCTATGTACTTATAAATTATATATATTTATCATACATAAATATAAAATATAAATTTGATATAAGTATGTTTTATATATTTTTATATATATAAAACAACATCGGTGAACCCCTTTGCACAAATGGAAGGGTTTGTCATTCCCATTCCTGGATGGGACATGAGCTTTCTGGGCACTAGTATTCTAAGGTGATGACATTTCAGTATTCTGAGCAACCCAATCAAGGAATATTCTAGAATGTTTTATCCAACCAATAACCTATTCAACTATGTAATTTTAGCTCACTCATTTCCAACTAGAAAGTGGAAGGGATGCCACCTCTTTCACTCTAGCTGGTATCTCTAACAGGCAGTTTGTAAGGGAGGAAAGTAAAGTGGATTTTCATTTATCATGCCTATTCTTAAAAAAAGGAAAAGACAGTCAACTATACAAAATGATCTGCAAAAGCAAGGTTTACAAATCAGCTTTTACAATCTCTAAGACCTAGGTAAAATATTGTCTTTTCCTGAGAAGTTAGTGTCTTTTTATTTATAATGTTTCTGAAGAAAAGCAAATACTGACTTTGAAATGTGAAAGGAAATGTATCTGCTTGTTTGCCATGTGTCTGGAGCTCACGGACATAAAGGTGACCAGCATGGAAGTTCAGAAACATACGGGAGGGCAAAGGGAAAGGGCAGAGCTTTACCAAGGGGTAGGTGATGATGAAGGCCACCCAGCCAATGAGCAGGAAGGTGCTCAGGATGATGGTGGCTATGTCCTTGAGCACGGAGTCCACGGGGGCCTCGGCCTTGGCAGGGGCATGCTCGTACTTCTCTTCCACATCCTGTGACACGGTGGTAGGTGCATTTTCTGAAGTCTGGTCAACCAGGTTGATAACCTTGTATGGGACAAAGTGACTACGTCACTGCAAAATTTCTAGCCAGACATAAGTGAGCCAAAAAATCAAGAGTAGCCATGGGTACCAGGAAAAGACCATACTGTAAAACGTGTTGTTGTTTTTTTTTAAAGCACATCAAAGATCACAAAGCCAAATAATCGTTGCCTTTATCAAAGTGACAGTCTCAAGAGGCCATGCTTTATTGCAGTGATGTTATCAGGACTCAAAAACAGTTCTAAGAGCAAAGTACTTTCAGAAGTGCCTTCAGATCCTATATGCTTTTGAAAATCCTCACTGAAGGCAAAGATTTCCCTCTTCGAGGGTAGACTTGATATTCGGGAAAACTCTGATAACATATCAGCGACAAAGTCTGGTGAAAATGTTGACAACTCCTTTAACAATACCATTTCATACTAAAAAAGAAAACCATGTGTGTGTACCCACATGTGGCTGAAGAGTAATAAAGCAGCCTGCTTCTGTTCCTTGTAAACTTTCAGTGCAACTCCAAAAACCAAATCATTTTTTTCAGGTTTTCCACTGTTTTTCAGTTTCTGAAGAGCATCAGAATCTTTTGTTAAAATTTATTTGGAAGCCCAAAATTAAACCAGATAAAATTGGGCTTTTCAGAGTTTCTAGGACTCCAAGAATAGTTTAGAAAAATGCATCAGTTGGTTCTCAGACATCTAGTGTCCTGGGAACTCCCAGTGCACTGTCACTGTGTGTCCAGGGAAGGAAACACACAGCCTCTGAACAAGTGCAGGACCTGGCATCCCCCACCACACACCCACCTTTCTGCCTGCCCCAGACTTCTGCCTACGACTCTCCTCTCCAGCTGCCCCACACCCACAGTGTATGGGGTGGGGGTGGCACAGCTTGGGGGAAGCAGGTGGCTGAGGAATGTCTGCTGAGCATGTGACCAGGAACAACACTTGGTTATATTCCCTTCAAATGTGTTTGTTAAAAAAAGTTGTCTTCTTGCCATAAAAATGCACCTCAGAGTATTTTAATGGAGTCTTTAAAAACTCTGTTCTGGGATCGAGTCCCACGTCGGGCTCCCTGCATGGAGCCTGCTTCTCCCTCTGCCTGTGTCTCTGCCTCTCTCTCTGTGTCTCTCATGAATAAATAAATAAAATCTTTAAAACAAAACTTTGTTCAAGTTTGGATGATTATTAAAATCTTAACTATGGGGCAGCCCGGTGGCTCAGTGGTTTAGTGCCGCCTTCAGCCCAGGGCGTGATCCTGGAGCCCCGGGATCGAGTTCCATGTCAGGCTCCCTGCATGGAGCCTGCTTCTCCCTCTGCCTGTGTCTCTGCCTCTATCTCTCTCTCTGTGTCTCTTGTGAAAAATAAATAAAAACTTCAAAAAAATAAATAAATAACTGTGGCATTAGATTAAGGGTACTGTCTTATTTTCTTCTCTATACTTTTATTTTCTAAGGGTTCGACGGACATCCTATCGAGACCTTAAGACAGCAATGCTTTCCAAAATCGCTGTCTTAGGACTCCATGGGCTTCTCCAATTGGCTACCTCCAGAGACGACAGACAACTCAAGATATTTCACTCTAGAATCTTAAACAGCTATATGATTTTTCCTTTCCTCTCTCTTTGGATAAAATCTGAACCCTACAGAGAACTTGCCGTGCTTGCGGTCCCCATATCAGGTAGCCCCTCTTGTCTTCCTCGGACCTTGCCCAGAGTCCAGGCCGCTTTCAGGCCTGGGTCCCCCATGGCAGGGCTGCAGGAGTTGCCAAGTCCAAATGGCCTCCGGACCCCCTCCCCACCCCACTGGCCATGCTGGAACCCCTTCCACAGAGCTACCCGCCTGCCTTATCCACCTGCTCCATGTCACAGAAGGATGTCACCTCTGGGCATAGCAGTGGTCTCTCTGCCCTCTGGTTTCTGACTGGAACATCAGCAGATGGGGCAGGGGGAGGAAAACGAGGTCCGATTCTGTGGGGTCACTGAGTATGTCAACTGAAGCTTCAGGCTCCTGGCCTGGAGTCCCTTTCCACTCCTGCCCACCCCCCTGCCCCATTTCAGGCTAAAGGATGCTAAGAGAACCCCTGGGGCTGTCCACATCTGTGTAAATAATCCCTTTATTAAACTCCCCTCCGATCATCTTAATCTGGGTGGTCCTTGTGTCCAGCTGAGACCCTGACTGGCACTCTGTCTCCCCAGGGCTGCAGGAAAGCGGCCCAGGTCAGAGGCTCATGCCAGCGACCATCTGGGTGGGCCTCTTTGCTGCCCAAGTCTCCATTCTGTGGTCCCTGCCAGACCAAGCCTCTACCAGACCAAGTCACCAAGCCGACTGCTTCTGAAGGGCCGCTCCTGGCTTCCTGAAGCTCCAGGTCTCCCACTTCCTCATTTCATCAACCATTCGTTCCACTTCCAGGTGCATGCAAACCTCACTAACATGGTTCTCCTGTAGCACGTGGTCCCAGTTCCCACTGTTCCCCACCTGGCGGCCTTGGCCCCCAGAGCTGCACATGCAGGATTAGTCCTTCCTCCAGGCCTTCATCTCTGCTGCTCTCTCCATCCCCGACCCCCTGGTGCCCTCTACCTCTCTCCCATCGGGCCAGCGCCCTCCCCTTCCATCCCTCAGCCTTCACTTCACTAGCGATTTGTCTTCCTCCCCACCAGGCCTTCACTGGGTGATGTTTGCTATGGATTCCTGAGCATTCCTCACCCTTCTGAGTCTACTGAAAACTCTTAAGGCAAGGGCAAATCCCATCCCCCCAACACCTGACAGGAGGAGCCAAGAACTGTTCATGTTCCCACTCACCTCCTCAAAGCTCTTCTTCTCTGAATCAGCAGGAATCACATTTTCCCGATGTTTGGGCAGGTTGTTGGGGAATCTCTCCAGCATCTTGGTAGATGCAGACAGGGGGGTTTCATGGTGTCCTGTGGAGGAAACAAACTTCCATGAGAACAGCTCTGTTTAGCTCTAATGTGAAGTGAATCCCATATTACTCAGAAGAGCCAGTTAACTCTCACGCTGTGCTGTTGGCCCCCACAACACACTTTCCTTTTGAATCTCTCAGTGTGATTCGGGTCACATCCTATGATCTTTCCACTGTTGTTGCAAACCTATCAGAGATTTTATGGTCTATATTTCCTAGACAAAAATAAACAAGAACTCGTCCGCACTATGAACATTTCTTGATTTGGAAAACTCTTTTTCTTTCAGTCAGTTCTCTATCTACAAGATTGTTCTTTCAGGGAAACCTCATTCTGTTCTGAACCATTGCCAGTTTCCCCTTATGAGAACTGTGAGACATGCTTTGCTGGGAAGCAGGATGTCTTCATGTGGGATCTACCTGCTTCAGACCCTGCTATCAGACTTGCAGATGGGGCCCAGGGATCTGAATGGGAGTTTCTCTGGCTACCTCTGGGGCTAACAGGAAACATTCGCTCTAGAAGAAAATAGGTTATCTTTCCACATGCTACTTTGCACTGTAGTGCCCTCCCTGTCCCTGCCCCCAGGACCTGTTCTCAGGGTTTTGAGTCCTGCCTCCTCCGCAGGGACCTAGTAACAGCCCACAATGGACATGATTAGCCTGGATCCTTCTTTCTTCCTGTACCTCTGATCATAGACAGGGGTCTCCCATAGCTGGGCCTCTGGTACTATCATGCTGCACACTAAACCAACTGTTCTATAAGCATAATTATAAGATCCCAACACATTTTTGTACAAACAGTGGCCAGTCTTAATGATTTATCTATTCTATCATCATTGTATCCAGGCTCCTGAATCAGGATCTCTGGGGGTCACACATGTGTGTTTGAGGAAGCTCCCGGGGGAAGCCAAAGTCACCCCAGGTTAGGGCCACTGCTCTGGGGAAACCCAGAAACCACACCACTCAAGCTAAATGGACTCCTTTTATTTTCAAAACCAATGTGGAAGTGGAGATATCCTTCATGTGTTCCACAAAAACCAAATCAAAGAACACGGTTGGAAATAAAAGAGCAGCTCATTTTACCTGTGGCCCCGAGTCTATGCAAAGATTGTCAAGTAGTTCCCCGGCCTTATTTAAAGATGACTAGCTTTGGAGTTCTTCCAAAAGGTTTCAGAAGGTGGATGGTTCCCTAATGACTTCTTCATACTTTGTTGATTTTGCGACCTAGCCATGAAGACCTTTTTTCCATATTTTTTATAGTCTTATGTACATACTTCCTTAGTTCCCAATAATTTTTTCACTTCCTAGCCACCTTCGTTGGTGCATAAAACCATGTGACCTTGTGCTTTTAACAGCCTCCATTCATCTGCTACTTTCCTCCTCACACTGGTCCACTCCTACATGCTCTTGAAACTAGTTCTGGCCACAAAAAAGGGGGGAGGGTTAGAATTCATTTTGTTATCTCCTTTGTCCATTATTTGGTAGAAATAATAACCAGAAGAAAAATGGCTACAAGGAGTCACGAAGAACAAAGAACAAGACCTGGACAACCATAAAGGGACTGATCAGGACTCTAGTACACTCAGGTTCTTGTTTGCAATACCCCAATACCCCCTATGGGGCTGATGCTGAGGGCCTCCTGGGCCCACACTCTTCTTCCCAGCTGTTCCACATCCTCTCCCCTCCCCACGCCTCCAGTGCTGCCTTCTCTGCCCTGTCCCCCTCAGCAGCTAGCACCCACTCGCCTCCTGTCCCCCTCACAAGGCTGCAACCCCACGTCTCACCACCTCTGGGGCTGGGTGGGAGGCAGCAGAACAGGGGGGATATGGGGCAAAAGGAAGGCAAATCAAATTCGAGAAAACTGCCCTGCTCTAATTCCTTGGGACACTTGCCAGAGACACAGCTCCTCTCCTGTGACTCTGCCTTCATTGGTCACACTCACTGTCTTTGAGTGTCATCTCAGCTTATCTCTGTGGCTGACAGGACCCCCAATCCATTCTGAGGGCCACTGGCAAGGGCAGCAAAAACAGAAGAGAAAGGAAGAGGAGATCGCCCCCTCTCATACACACACCGGGGACCTGTGCCATGGCTCCCTGACCCAAGACCAGCCTTGACCTCTTCACAGCCCTTTATCCCTCCTGGGTCTCCAACCCTCTCCCCTCCCCCAGGCCAACTCCCAGGGAATTCTTCTGTAGGAATTACTCCAGTTTCCTGTAAGTGGAATAACATGGGTGTCTACCTCACAAGGGGCCACTGGCAGAAATGAGGCAATGGGTTCTACTCAGGCCTGGCACATAGCAGCCGGTCAGTGGGCCAGATAACTGCACAAAGGTTATGTCAGTCAGTAACTGGGTTTTGGAACATTAAATGATTTTTGAGAGCTGACTTGGTAACACAGCTACCCTGTTTATCTTCCTTCGGAGTAAAAAACGTTCCCAGGTCAGAAAGACTGTCTTGGACCTGAGGGAGCACAAGGCCGAGTTGACCACGGTAACTAATAAGCCCTGGCCTTTGCCCACCAGGGGGCAGCACGCTGCAGCCTAAACCCAGGAGAAATGCACTCTTACCTATGAGAAGCCAGTAGTTCCTCAAGTAGTTGAGCTTGTTCTTCCCTTTGAGCCCAGGGTCAAACTTTAGGTCGGTGCTGGGCGTGATCACACATTCCCCTTTATCTCCAATGGTGACCCCGTCGGTCTGGGGGCCTTCCAGCAAAGGCAGAGTGCTGCCTCGGGGCTATGAATAAAGAACTGGTGTGAGGTCTGGGGCAGCCCTCGGATACAAGCACGCAAGGGAAGTGATTTCTGGTGCGGGGCTGGTCCAGGGCAAGACACAAAGGCCCTCAGAAGGCTGAAGCTCCTCCCTGAACACGTGACAATGTTGTGCTGACATCTTTATCATGGACAGCTTCTTAAATTCTTATATCTGGGAACTGGGAAGAACGTGTGTGGAAATCTCAGAGGCCACTGTGAGAAGCAGAGGTAAGTGAAGGAGCCCAGTCTATACGCTGACCCAGGTGGAACAATCTCCAGCCAGGAGCCCAGTGCTGACTCAGCACTTTAAAGAGGCTAGTGAGGTCTGAGGAGGCCTTGAGAGGTTACAAAAGGATGGATTTGAGCAGAGAAAAGAAAGGAAGGGAGAACATTTGAAGCAGGAGGCATAGCCTGAACACAGGTGAAGAAAGGCAAACAGGAATCTTCCGGAATCAGGGAGAAGATGGACTGTACAACTCCCACAGAGATCCGAGTAGTGTGGTAGAGGGCCTCGAGGGCCTGGACTGAAGAGGGCATGAACACCAGCTTAGGCAGTTTAGACTTCAATATGAAAGCAAAGTGGAATGACCCTAGGCTTAGGAAGCTGCTCTTGTCATGCAACTTTCCTCAAGAAGTAGAATGTGGTATGGGCAGAAACTGTTTCTGAGGCTCTAAGACCTGTGAATGGAACAGGAGTGCTTGGGGAGGAGGCTGCACCTGTGAGCCCCCCATAGAAGACTTACCACCACGGCAACCCCCTCGTGAACCATGGAGGGGGAGGCATACAGGCTAGTAGAGTATTTCCCAACATACAGGGTGGGCCTAGGAGACAAGCAGAAACACGCATTCCGTTTAATTTCTGCATTCCACAAAAGGCACCTTTCTGAAGAGAAGTATCCCAGCCCCAAATGCCATGCTAAGAATAACCAGATTAACCCCTAGCACCCCGAGCAGTGGGATGTGAAGGCAGGGCTACCATCCTGGGAAGCTGGGCTGCAGGCCCCAGCTGTCACTCACTGCCTACAGAGGTGTGCACAAGTCACCCAACTGCAAGCCTTGGTTTCCTCATCTGCAAAGGGCAGAGCTACACTAGAGCATCCCCATGATGGCCTGCAGAAAGAACTATGTGGTGTGATAATCCGGGAAGGACTGAATGCTTGCAACCCCTGCAAAGCTGCTAAGATGGCCCTGGCCACAACATGCTCTGACAACTGAGCTGCCATTCTGTCTCATGATTCTTAGGGAGTCTAGGGGCTCTACAGAAGCCCTAAGAAATAGTCAACTGCTCTCATGTGGAGGACCACAACAAAAGGATACACAAAAAGTTCCAAACTGGGTGAGACTTCTGTTTCCTCAGCTGGTGGTCTGTCCCTGCCAGGGGCATCAAGGTGGGTGGGTGGGGGAACGGGAGGGTTTGGCTTTGTCTGTGGGGTCAGTGTGAAAATGTGGGGGCTGCACCTCCAGACCCTTGTGATTACCAAGAGCGGGTTTGGGATTGGTCATCCACTAAATTCTTGAAACCTCTCTCAACAGATACCTCATGTATGAAAGGTGTCGTACACCTTAGAGAGCACTGTCACAGTCTCATCTGCCCCCTCTGCAGTGCTGTAAAGTGGGAAACAGGGATTCAGCAAGGCCAAGGGACCAAGTTATAGTTTGGGAACAGGTGGGGATGGCGAATACAAGCCTGCTGAGTCTCAGACAATACATGTGGTAACCTTCTTTCCCCGATTTTGGAAATGAATATAACTTATAATAAAAATTTGGGAAATACAGAAAGTTAAAAAGTAAATCTATCGCTATACTCCCGCCAGATCTATCCAAATTGTACTGTGGTTATGTATCAGCAGTCTCTTTCTTACCCCTGTCCATAATTTTACTTAATATTCAAGAATTCTGAAGTCAGGGGATGTCCCAGTTCTTATACGTATTGAGAGCTTTCTGACTGAGCCAGTCCTGGCCCTTCCTATACCTCATGGCTTCAAAGATGTGTGCCCTGAGCCCTAGAGTCCTGTGTACGGTATGCCACGATGCAGCAGGACCAGGGTATTTGAGTCACAGCTGCCCTCTTCTGCCCCGGGTTCCTTGACTCACGTCAGCTTGCTCTTGGCCTCCGTCTCCTTGGGGAATGGGTACTTCCATTTGGTGATGCGGCCCACCTCCCCAGACATGAAGGTCAGATAGCGCAGGGTCTCCACGGCGACGTTGATGTGCATCACCTTCTTCAGACCCTCCCGCTGCCAGACATAGAAGGCCACCACAGGGGAAGCATAGTTTTGGATCCACAAGACATCACCAGATTCACTGTCCACCGTCACCACCAGCCCATCACCGTTGGACACAAAGTGGGACATCTCTGTACAGATCAAATAAACAAAGCATGCGGTCTCACCCCGTCTTGTGACCACATCCTCTCTCTCCTAGCAGGTTGCAATCACTCAGCTAGAAGTAACAAGGCTTCTGGAGTATTCTCAGATACTCCTGACAATTTCACTTGTTTCCAAAGAACCTGTGTAGGCTCTACAACATCAAGGCAGTGAGAGCTGCCTGCTTTATAAACACAAGACAGGGTTGCTCTGTGGAAGGCAATCTACTTGGTGAGATTCTTCAGCACTCTATGTGATTAGTAAGAGTCAATTAGTAAGAAGGAAGAAAGTGCCAGTGGAGAGGACTAGGATTCTGATATTTCATAGCTATCATTTCAAACCAATTGATCCAGTTGAAAGTCAAAGTTGACCACTGACACTGCCCGCGTCTGCCCACAGAAGAGACTTCTGTCCAACTTTCAGGTGTCATTGTTCAGACAGCAAAACTGGCTTTCAGTTTTCATTTGACTTGGGGGAATGTTTATGAGAGACGTGAACTAGGGGATGAGTCACATTTAAGGGGTGGGTTGTTCATGGCACAGATGATACTTAATTCTGCCTCCCATGGGCTTTTGGTACATCCCCCTGTGACACAAAGGGACTCAATAAGACACATCTGTCCTCCTCCCAGGCTAAACTCCCCACCCACTTTACTAAAGTTCCCCTCCACCCTTCTCACCCAGGTCCCTGCCTTCAATGCTGACTGTCCAAGTATGTACTACAAATCCTTAGAAAGCCCAGAAGCTGGTGGCCAGGAGTGTCTTAAAAGAAAATCCAGCATCTTGGAGTGATCACTTCCTCACAGGTCACAAATACCTAGCCACCCTGGTGGAGCTGCCCAGGAGCACTTACTGTAGTCCCCGTCGTCCTCAGGCAGCGAGGCTGCATAGTCGAAGTAGGTGGCATTCCACCGGAGCTCCCGGGTTTTGGTGTCGTACATGGTGATGGTATACTCTGGAGAACACATACCAGCCTGTTACCTGGAGGGGCCACAGCACCTGCTGAGGTGCTGACCTTAACTACATTGCAACAAATCCCTTCTACATTGTGTGTAAAATGTCTAGGTCATCCATGTGGAAAGAGAAAGGCCACGTGGACGGGAACTAAAGTCCCAGACACAGGAGTGAAGCAGGCCGACAGCATGTGGAGCAAGGCCCAGCCACTCACACTGTGCCCTTGAACTCATGACTCACAGAATCAATATCATGGTGTTTATTTATTTATTTTATTGCACATCACTATTTTATTTTTTCGGTCACAGTTTCTTACAACCACCTATGTTATGGGGTGGTCTACTGTGTAGCCATAAATAGCTGATATTAGAAATCAGTACCTAGAAATGGGATAAGGACACGACAAAAAACTGAAACATGTGGCACTGGCTGGGACAAGGTGGCAGGGGAGGGACTGGCAGGTTGGCGTGGAGACCAAAGGAGCAGTAAGGAAACTGCTCCTGGAAGTTGAAGACGGGGTGGCCCAGGTTTATACAGTGGTGACACCATTAGTAAGACTACTGTTTGCAGTAACTTGGAAAAGCACAAGAAAGCACCTAAGGGACTTGCAGATCTGGCTGAGATCTCCAGGCAGAATGCAGAAAGCACCAAGGAGTCTCTCTTAACTGCATATGATATAATGCAAGACAGATACGCTGAAGAAGACACTGTTCAGTTTCCAAGCTGAATACAGAGAAAAATATGGAAGCACCAGGACTGGCACTCCAGCTGGGAAAGAGTCTCACTATAAAAAAAATGGCCTCGGGATCAAGATTAAATCAAGGCAACAAGGTGCATACCTGATGGAGAGAGACCCACTACCTAACGTCTTTAAAAATGGCACTGCTTATTCTGGGAACTGGAAAAGGTTTAAGTCCGGGAAATAGAGCCAAAGAGGCAGAAGAGGCAGTGGCTGCATCATGAAGGCTTTGCAGGCTGTGGTGTTTTGGGCTAATCCCTTAGGCAATGGGGAGCCATTGTGGAGTCTTCTAAAGGGGAATGACATGGTAAAAATCTGTGTTTGAAGGAGACAGCTCTGGCCATCTTCTAGAGAATGAAGCCCGGAGGAAGAGATCCAGAAGGTGCTACTTCAGGTCTTTTTTGGGAAATAGGCAGGTTGAACACAACAGAAGCTTCCTTCTTACCTGTTCGCCCAAGATACAGCAGAGAGGTTGATGGGCAGAGACTGTCTGCAAAGGCCGATGACAAAGTCTGCTGCTTCTCCCCGGTCAGAAGGTCAATAACATACCAGATGTCCTGCTTTTTACCTGAAAGGTCACAAGGACACACTGGTTTACACTCACCCCATAAGGGAGGAAAAAAGTATCTCTACCAAACTAGCAGGCCAAGATATTTTCTGTGCTGGGAGGCCTGGAGTCCTCCTGATGTTGAAGACATTTCTATGATGCTCTGAGGGTGACAAGGTGAATGCTACTGTGGAGATAATAAAACTTCTTGGGCTGCTGGGTCTTATAATAACTTAATAACCTAATGATGGTTTAAAAATGTCTTCAAGCATAATAACCTAATAAAACTCAGATTTCACTGCTTTGATTAATGACCTTAAATATGAAGACCTGGCCTCTGAAGGGTAATCCTTTTCCCACAGATCAGGATCTATATAAATATGGAAATGCACACAGGGGTTCATCTCTCTGGTAACCATCATTCATAGATCTCCACACCCCTACTAATGAGCCCACATGTAAAGAGGATCTATAGCTACTGTTTGTAACTCTGACTGGTTGGTATCTGGGACTGAGTAGCAAAGTTGGTTGCAATCTGGTGCTAATGAGGCCAAACTTATCTCAGTCTCTGACCCTAGTCAGTAAGTTATTCCCTGGCCACACACTACACCCCTATATCTCAGTCAGCTAGATTAAAAGGTATGAACAGGTGGACAGCATAGCCAAACAACATTACTGGGAAAACTTAAAGCATGTGCATCTACAGTACATACACCAGAGCAACTGGCTAATGATGGGTCAGCAGTATGGGCCTCCCACCTGAAAGTTAACACATTCACCATAAGGTATGTATGTCTGTTTTGTAAGGCAACACGTCTGGTCACTTGTATCTTCCTAACTTATTGGCCAAGAGTCCTATGTCAAGGGATTCTTGGAAGCAGAGTACAGAGATGTTGGGAAGATCATAGCACATCAGAATTTCCAGAGCTACACTAAGTTCTAACAGATATAACATATACGCCTAGTCTACATATATGAAACTTGTCCGTGATGACAACTTTCTGTTCTCAATGACAAAATCTCTTTTTTTTTTTTTTTTTAATTTATTTACGATAGTCATACAGAGAGAGAGAGAGGCAGAGACACAGGCAGAGGGAGAAGCAGGCTCCATGCACCGGGAGCCCGACGTGGGATTCGATCCCGGATCTCCAGGATCGCGCCCTGGGCCAAAGGCAGGCGCCAAACCGCTGCGCCACCCAGGGATCCCTCAATGACAAAATCTTAATATGAAAAAGATCTGCAGAAAGAGTGAAAATATCACCAAATAGCTCTGTCCGTGATCCCTTTCCATATGATATGACACCCTTCTGGTTACTTCGAGGGCTACTATAGTCTGAATAACTTGGCTACCTCTTAAAGGATGGACTGGGCAATTGCCAGTTTTAAATATGTTTAATGAACTCACTTAAGAAGTCACCACGCAAAGATGATAAAAAACCCACTATCCTAAATGCATCATAAGAGATGAACCTCTGGCAAAAGCTAAAAGCCCAGACAGGCAACAGTGACACAGACAGTCGGAAGATGGCCAGGAGTGGGGAGCCTGGGCAGCTCAGCTGGTTAAGTATCTGCCTTCAGGTCAGGTCATGATCCCAGGGTCCTGGAGTTGAGCCTACATTGGGCTCCCTGCTCAGTGGAGAGTCTGCTTCTCCCTCTGCCCCACTCTGCACTTGTGCTCTCCCTCTCTCAAATAAATAAATAAAATCTTAAAAAAAAAAAAAAAAGTCAGGTAGGCCTGGAGCATGGCCCAAGGGAGAGAGAGAAAAAGCCTGTATTGATCACTTCCTTTGAATCCCGAGGCTTCCTCATCCGGAAGGTGTGGAAGAAAGCAATAGCCTCTGTGTTCCAGGCAAAAACTTAAAATCCAGCCTGCACTTGAGGCCCAAAAATACATATAAAGCTCCCGAGGCATGAATAGGCAATAACCACTTTCAGTTCCTCAGAAGGAAAGCTGCTATGTAAATACAGGATATTATTACTACTATGATTTCAAGATAAACACAGCTCTCCTTTGTATTACAAATGCATTTTTATTGACATTTTGGCAGCAAACACAGTAAAAGAAAAGCAGGTGATCTGATGCTTTCAAAGAGGTGACCCCATAGGTATGAAGGCGGCTTATCTAGCCAAGCTGTTAAGTGCTGTTTTATCCAATATTCTGATAGCAGGAAATACTATGAAAGTCCTATAATTAATAGGCAGAACCTGGCTTCCCTTTCTTGGCTCAGACTATTGTGTTCACTTTAAATTTCATCCAACTGCTTCTGGGTATGTTGCAATCTTTAAATCACAGGGGTAAGTCAACACAGCAACTAAAAGCTTGTTAAATGAGTAACCATATTAATGGTGTCAGGTCTGCTCCCAAGGGGGGCGGGGGGCTTTCTTAATTGGTCAGCTGATCCTGGCGTGAAGAAGCATAATCAAGGCAAGAAAGACCTTTCTCAGAAGGGTTGGTGGGGAGTCACTGCACACCTCTCTCTCCAACGTGCCACTTTCCCAGATTCTGGGACTCCTTTCCAAACAGATCAAAGTTTCAGTGTTGAAAACAGGAACTCTTACCCATGTAGAGAATTCCATCTGAACTTCGGCATGGGGATGCCTGTACCAATTCTGGGATGGTAAAAGGAAGTTTCTTTACAAAAAAAAAAAAAAAGAGGCAAAGGAAAAAATAAGTTAACCAAGTCTTGTGCAATTATTATAATTTTACTGCACAATCTGTTTCTGTTACCCAATTCTGCTAAAAAGAGAGAAGCAGTGTTGATGGCTGATGGGAGCTTTCCCAACTGGAAACCAAGGAGAAGGGATGCCCCAGGCTTCCATATCCACTTTGATCAAGCCTCCAGCTCTCAGCTCCCCGTCAGGAGCTCCTTAAAGTATCTTGTCCAGAGCACTTCTGGGGAAGACACAAACCTTTTCTGAAAAGACTTATACAAATATGGAGAAGTTACACAATCTTTGAAATTTGGAGGGGGATGGGGCAGAAAGAATTCTGTCTTGGAAAACTGACCCAGAGCCAGCTAGGCTGAGTGGAATGACGTACTTTTCAGAGTGTAGGTGAGCCGTAAGATTAATTCTGAAGAGAAACAACCTCAGTACCCAGCTGAAGCTTTAAGGGAAAGAAATCAGCATTATGCAGGTGACCTAGGAGTTCAAGGTGGAGCAAGTCGTTTTAATGTTTCCTTAATTAAACAATGCTCCACTGGAAAAACAAGGAAATTAAGCCTTTTGGTATTAAAAGGAAATTATGGTAGATGCCAGGAAAAAGAAACTCAAACTCAACCACATGTTTCAACTGCATTTCATCATAAAACTGATTCTTCTGAGTCTACAGCTGACATCTGATAAGTTCCTTTGGTTAATGTTCGTTTCGGTATACTTTATTTTTGGAACATTCTGTGTTCTTGAAACTATTCTGTAGATACCTGCTTCTACTATACTGTCATCTTTTTCTCCAAAAAAGAGAGTTCTCTCTAGCTTTAATAAACAAAACTTTACATAATCAATCATTTGGATTTTCCGATTATCCCAACATTTAAACTAGGCCTTCGAAAAAGGAAAAATGCCACAGAGAGGCTGTCATGACTGACTGGGTTTGTGCCAGATGTTCTGGAGAATCAGAAAGTAGTTGCCAGGCTTCTAGTCTGGAGTCCTACAGTGTTTGCTGAGCATTTCTACAGGTCTACCTGTTCAAGGCCCAACCTGGGAGACACCTGGTTCCTGGAACTGTTAACCTACAACAGGAAAATGTGAGGCGGAATGGAGTGGTCAGAGCATTTTGGAAGTTCAAGCTCAAGTCTCAAGTTCCAACAATTGACGCTTTGGCCTTGGGCACATTCCTTCACCTCTACGGGCACTGTTTCCACGCCTCCTACATGGGTTACCGTCTCTATTCCAGAAGGCTCCTGAAACATGAGACAACTTCCACAAATCGCTCCACATGGTGTTCAGCAAACAGAGTGTTTCAGAAATAGGTTCTGGGAATGTGAAGGGAAATGCTGATGATGAAACACACACACCTCTACGCAAGGCTTGCTTTCCTCCCATCTGTTCTGGTCATGGGCATTCAGAAGTTTATGTTAAAATATCCCAATTAGAGCTCACTGCCACTTACAGTCTAGACCACTGGTTCTCAATCCAGGCTGCACATTACAATCACTTGGAAGCTTTTTTTTTTTTTTTTTAACTCTATTGAAGCAGAACATACAAACAGCACACGTGAGTATACAGCTCAGCTTACTTCAACTGTGCAAAGCATCCACATGAAGCAGCACGATTTTTCCAGCACTTCGAAAACCCTCTTCTTGCCTTCTCTTCCAATCATAACTTTCCAGGGTAATCATTATCCTAACTTCAAGACAGCATAGACTTGTTTTTCCTGTCTTTGAACTTTATATAAATGAATCATTCAGTGTGCAGCCTTTCTTGTTTGTCATCTTTGGTCCAACCTTAGGTTAGTAAGATTCATCCATGCTGCTGTGCAGAGTTGCAGACTGTAGGCTCTCACTGGTGTAGACTATTAAATTATATCGCTATTCCATAATTTCTCTATCCTGTCCACTATTAATGCTTTCCTTATCCTGTTTACTACTGATGCTGTCTGGGTTGTTTTCACTTCTTGATTATTTTCAGTAATGTTGCAGTACGTTTGGGTAGCTGTCTTTAGTGAACACACATGGGCATTTCTGCTGGGTACATAATAAGCTGGGAAGGATTACTGGGTCCTAGGGCTTTACAGATTCTGCCAAACAGTTTCCAAACTGGATATACCAAGTAGCACTTCCACCAACAGTGTCCAGGAGCTCTGATGGCTCCGCTCCCCCCCATCATCTGTTTGTCTACTTTCCTCATTCTAACCACTCTAGTATTAGTAGGGCATTGGGATTTTATTTATTTATTTTTAAATTTATGATTTTATTTATTTATTCATGAGAAACAGAGAGAAAGGCAGAGACACAGGCAGAGGGAGAAGCAGGCTCCATGCAGGGAGCCCCACGTGGGACTCGACCTCAGGTCTCAAGGATCACGCCCTGGGCCGAAGGCGGCACTAAACCACTGAGCCACCCAGGTGTCCCAAGACATTGTGATTTTAACTTGCATTTCCCTAATGACTAATAAAGCTGAGTATTCTTTTCATATGTTTATTGACCATTTGGATATCCTCTTCTCTTTCTCTACTGGGTTCTCCTTTTTTAAAAGTAATCCATAGGAGTTTGGGGTGCCTAGGTGACTCAGTCAGTTAAGCATCTGCCTTTGGCTCAGGTTATGATCCCACGGTCCTAGGATGGAGCCCTGCATGGGTTTGCTGCTCAGCAAGGAGTCTGCTTGTTCCTCTTCTTCTGTCCCTCCCCTCTGCTTGTGTTCTCTCACTTTCTCTCTCAAATATAATCTTTAAAAAATAATAATAATCCATAGGAGTTCTTTACATATTCTGAATATGAATCCTTTGTTGGAGTCATATATGTATTGCCAGTTCAGTGTATTCCAAATACATCCTGCCTTTCTTGATGATGTCTCTTAATGAAGAAAAACTCTTAATTTTAATATAATCCAATATATCAATTTTTTCCTTTATAGTTAGTGTGGAGTATTTCTGTTTTGTTTATCTTATCCTATTTAAGAAACCTTTTCTGGGGCACTTTGGTGGCTCAGTTGGTTAAGTGCTGAACTCTTGATCTTGGCTCAGGTCTTGATCTCATAGTTGTGAGTTTAAACCCTGCACTGGGCTCCATGTTGGGTGTGGAGAAGGAAGGAAGGGAGAGAGGAAGGAAGGGAGGAAGGAGGAAGGGAAGGAAGAAAGAAAGGAAGAAGGAAGGAAGGAAAAGAATCTTTTCTTACTCTAAGGTTGTGAAGATATTCTGCTACTTTTTTCCCTTAAAGTTTGGTTTCATATTTCATACTTAGATATGTAATCTCTCTGAAACTGAGGTTTGTGTGTCTGGTGAAGGGTAAGAGTTAAGATACTTTTTCATGGACATCCCAGTTGACTCATGCCATATATTGAAAGACCACCCTTCCCCACTGCACACTGCAGCATCGCCTTTGTCATAAATCAGGTGATCATCCATGTGGGTGTGTTTCTAAATTCTCTTGTCCAGGGAGCTTTTAAAAATTGCTGATGACCTTGATCAATTAAATGGAAACTTCTAGGATTGGGATCCAGACTCAGTAGTTTGTTGTTGTTGTTGTTGTTGTTTTAAGAATTCTCCAGGTTATTACAATGTATAGCTAAGGCTGAGAACCACTGGGAAATTTGCTGGGGTGAATGTGGGTGGGGAATGCTTCAAACTACCCCCAATTTGAGAATCACTAGTTAGATCAAGTCCTGCTGCTAAAGGGAGTATTATACCTCTCTAGTGTAATTTTTTTTAAACTCTCAGGTGATCTCAATGTGCAACAGTTGAGGACCACTGGTCTGGAACCTCTGAAGTACACAAAGATTCAAAATATACTCACTGTCAGGCCTTCGTTATTCTTGCCCCCAAGTGTATACAGACTGCCATCGTTGGGATCCGGGAGGAAAGCAGGCCTAGAGATTGAGCAGTAAGTATCAGTGATAAGTTATAGTCCAGGGCACAGAACAAAATATCAAAGCCATGCAAAGTCATGATTGGGGTGAGGGAGGCATGCATGTGTATAAGACAATTCCACCCACTGCTCTTTCACTTTTAGCTACAAATAAAATATCCCTATGGTGATAGGCTATATTTGAGCAGAAAAAAGCAACCTGTAAGAAAAAAAGTTAAAAACCATAGAAGAGTAAGTCATTATTTGGTCAAAGTACTCTGGATGATGATAAATAAGTGAAAAGGACCCAGGTAAGTCTGCTTTTCAGTTTCTAAGTCAATTGTGTATAGAACTTCAACAATTAATATTTAATAGCATGGAACAGTACATAAATGGTAGGACAAATCTACCTTCAGTCTTCAACAAACATGTATTTTTAAACTGGAGGCAGTAAAAGCAGACTCTGAAAGCTTGACCTCAGAGAGAACTTGCCAAGGAGATATGGTGGTCTTTAACACGTGGCTTCCCATAAAGCAGATACGAGGTGATCTTTGATAAGGTTAATGTGGTGGAGTCTGAATTAGGACTAGGCACTCAAAAACCCTTTGTTCAATCTTTTCTGTACTTAGGATGTCCCATCATTTGAGCTCTTATAGGGGCTATAACACATACACTCTAGTAGCAGGTTACGCTCATGTTTCCTCTTCATGGTATGACACAATGAAAAGGGAGAGATTTAAACCCTTGGTAAGACTTTGGCAGTTTCGTAGGACTTAAACTCAACTGGAGTTTCATCTCAAGTAGGCCTTTTAATATCACTGCCTCCCTTCCCTGGGGAACTGACTGCCCAACACAGGTCATAGCACCCGTAAGACTTCACGTCTCCGTCATTCTCATTATACCTTAGGTGTACGTATATATGTGCTCCCAGCAGCTAGCTTCTTAAATACCGACTGAATAGTTAAGAAAATGAATTAAAGGAAGGTATCTAAGCAAATTAGAAGACTTACTCTTCCACATGTGTTGGAACCTGCAGAACAGGATCTGTGCAAAAGAACAACAAATGCAACATCAGACAGACTCTAAAATACCAGGATTCCAAGAAGGCCCCCAAGACAGATTCACAAGTGGTACCAATAACTTAAATTTCCCTTAAACTTACCAGATAAAGTATGTGAAGGGACTTTAGAAAACACATACCCAAAGACACAGATTGTCACTGAGATGGGATAGAGAATATAGCACAAAGGAACTGATGTCAAGAAATGAGCACATAGGGGCACCTGGTGTCTCAATCGGTTGAGCATCTGACTCTTGATTTCTGCTCACATCATGATCAGAGGGTCATGAGATCAAGCCCTGAGTCAGGCTCCGTGCTTAGCAGGGAGTCTGCTTGAGTATTCTTTCTCTCCCTCTGCCCCTCCCCCCTGCCTCTCAAATAAATAAATAGACAAATAGTTAAAAAAAAAAAAAAAAAGAAAGAAAGAAAGCACACATAACTTGGGGGATGGACATGAAGGAAGAATGAGTCTCAAAGCATAGTGGACAATGAGTCACAGTGTCACTATCTGACACATCAATGGCTTTTACAACCTAAACTGCCACCTTGTCACAGATACCTGGAGTGGCATTAGAAACTCCCATTAGGAAAAACAAAACTGTGGCTTAAGAACAAATCTTCCGGTTGATGAGAATTTGGTTGGTGGTAAATGGATACATCCCACCGGGGCAGCAAGATGGCAAACTTGGAGACTCCAAGTGCTTATTCCCCCTTGATTCCCTTTGATCCATCAATTCCATTTCTATAAAATCTAGTTTAAAAGCAATATAAGGGCAGCTCAGGTGGCTCAGTGGTTTAGCGCCGCCTTCAGCCCAGGGTGTGATCCTGGAGTCCCAGGACTGAGTCCTGCGTCGGGCTCCCTGCATGGAGCCTGCTTCTCCCTCTGCGTGTGTCTGTCTGTCTCTCTCTGTGTCTCTCATAAATAAATAAAATCTTTTAAAAAAAAAAGCAATATAAAATATAGAAAATGCTTTGTGTACAAAGACACAGTAGCATTACCAATGACTTACCTACTCAACGATAAGGTTAAATTAGGGAATGTTTGCTCGGCGGAAAATTAAGGCTTCTAAAAGGGCTTATACAATTTAAAAATGTACAAATCTTTATATTCTGATATTCAGGGGAAAAGATAACATGATACAGAATAGTAGTGCAGCTGAGGAGAAAATCTTCAATGCACATAGACAGAAACGATGGAAGGACAAAAAAAAAAAAGCCAATTGTAAGATATTTGTTGGAATTGTGACTCCTCTACCTCATCTGTATTTCCCCAAATTTGTCTAAGAACAGGCGTTACTTTTTAAACTGGGGGAAAAAGTGTTTTCTCAAAGTCACTTTTATACTTGCAGTAGTCAAGAATGGCAGAATTTCTCCCTCCCCAGATTCTCCCAGGCACGAAGCAAGAGGATGCTCCTAGTTCCTTGGGCTCGGTGGTGGTGGCCTGAGAGCGCACGGACACGAAAAGGGCGAACATCCACAGTCACGAGGGATTCCCGGCGACCCAAGCCCCGCGGGCCGCACAGGGACACCGCCTGCAAGTTCAAAGCTGGGGCTGAGGACGGCAGACACCGTCCCAGGATTCCGGACGCCCAGCTGCAGGCTCCGCGGGCCGTGCGCGACGTGACAGGTGCCCCCCAGTCACCCGGGATTCTCGGATGCAGAGAACCCTTTCAGGCCTTATCACGTGTTGACTTTGCTCTACAAGCCCGGCTCCTACCCGAAAGAATACACAGCGTTCGCGGGGACAGAGGTACACGCAGCACGCGTGGCCTGTGGGCGGCCCACAAACAATGCATCGAAGCAAAAACATGTTAGGAAACAGGAGGAACTGTCAGTTGGGAAGCCCGCGTTTCTCGTTCCCATTAATCCCCTCTCGGTACTGTCCCAGGAGGCTGATGCAAGAGACGGCAAAGAGGCGAGGCGCCCTGATGACCCCGCTCCCACGCAAGAGCGAGCGCGCCGACCTGCGACCTGCGAGGACACGGCACGCAGAGGGCAGCGCTTTTGGTTCCCTTCGGCGGCTTCACGGCATCACAGACAAACACAGCGGGAGAGGAGCCTGCAGGGATTCCAGCACGTCACGGAAACCAGACGCGGGGCCTGACAGGATCTGGAGTCCCCGTCACAGGCTTGTCTTCAGGTGCAGACTTCCCTGGTTCTCTAGGGCTCGTCCACTGTCACCTGACACGGAGGCCTGAAGTCCCAAGATGTGTCCCGCGCCTGACGGGTTCCAGTGAAGACACAGGCCACTGGCAGAAGCCGGGGAGGGACCCGAGGGACAGCTATGCAGGCTCTCGTCCACTCAGGAAAATTAGGTCCTGGGAGGAACACGCGCAGAGTAAGCCATGCGATGGCACCGCCATTCAGGTCAGCTCCGGCAGGGCAGCAAAGTCCTCTTGGCTTCTGAGGGGGAGCAGTGACTATACCCGAGGTATAGGGTAGATATACTTCTTTTTTTTCTTAAAGAATCATTTGAATCTGAGATTTGCTTTAAAATACTACAGAAAAAAGGTGTGCCTGGGTGGCTCAGTAGGTTAAGCGTCCAACTTTTTTTTTTTAAGATTTTATTTATTTATTGATGAGACATACAGAGAGAGAGAGAGAGAGAGAGAGACAGAGACAGAGACAGGCAGAGGGAGAAGCAGGCTCCATGCAGGGAGCCCGACGTGGGACTCGATCCCAGGTCTCCAGGATCACACCCTAGGCCGAAGGCAGCGCTAAACCGCTGGGCCACCAGGGCTGCCCAAGCATCCAACTTTTGATTTCAGCTCAGGTCATGATCTCAGGGTCCGAAATTGAGCCCCATGCTCAGTGGGGAGTCTGCTTCTCCCTCTCCCTCTGCCGCCCCCCCCACTTGCTTGCACTCTCTCTCAAGTAAAAAAATCTTTAAAATACTACAGAATAAAAAACCATATGCAAGGGGAGATAAAACAAAAAATGCCAGCCTATTGGTAACTGGTAAAGAGGAACATGGCAAGACTGGGGAGTTATTTTGCTATTCCTTCTACATATGCTTGAAATTTTCCATAACATAAAAGGATAAAAATATTTGGAAAGTCAGCGAAATAAAAGTAAACAGCATCATCTGAAAATGTGCAATGAAAGTCCAATGTGAAAAAGTGGTTGTTTTTATTTAATAATGAAAGCTGGTATCAGGTAAGATTCTTGCAAAAAAAAAAAAAGAAAGAAAGAATAAAAGATCCAGCTATGTGAAAAGCAACCTGGCCTAACTAGAAAGCTATAAACAAACACAGCTACAAAATAAGCCACGCTATCTATACAGAGACTGATAAGGATAAAAGCCATCCCACAAAGCTGTTTTACTTTCAGAAGGGAGAAAGGGTGTGTGGCGGGGGGAGGGTGGTGGTTACTTTGCAAGTATGAAAACAGGTGTTAAGGTAAAGGTAAGGCTATCGCAGGAGGAACTGACAGGCAGAAACAAATCTGCTCACTGCTCCCCGGGAAACAGCCACCGGACTGGACCCGATTCCCCCAGTGGGTCCAGCTTGGGCTTAAAATGGCACAACCCTTACAACCCGGAGACCTGGATGAGGTTGTATGACAGCTCATTGATACTGCTGTGCTATTTGAATCCTCCTTTTTAACTGGGGACAGAAATGGCTCAAAACAAATATTCATACCCTTCCTTTGCCCAAATTCACAAGGGTGAAGACTTAAACATTTTTATCTCCAAAAGAAGTGAATTTTCATCTTTCCGTGAATACCTTTTTCACCTTTATTCTCCATTCCATCCTTTCTGGACCTCAGGCCTTCTCCCTCTGTACTGGATCACATGCATACTCTCAACTTTGCTGTGCTACAGGTCTCTGTGGCTCCATCCGCAGCACCAATAGCCCTACTCTTTCAGCTAGTTCCCAACCATTCGGGTGATCCCATGTGCCTGCTGCCCTGATCACACACCAGCAGGCAGCCCCTCCACCGTCACTTCTGGTTCTGTGGCTCGTCCCAAGTCTCTCACCTCTGTGGCCCTGCATGTGTGATTTCTGTCCTCCTTCTGTCTTAGCTCTTCCCCTATCTACTCCAACAGGAAGGCGCATTTCCAGGTTCTCCCTCCAGTTATCTCAGAGAGCACACTCATCCCTGAAATTTCAACCATAACCACAATGGAAGATTTCAGGTCACCATCATCTTCTGAGCTCTTCTTTCTGTATCAACTGGACCTTTCCGCTATTTCCTACCAGCACCTCAGCCACCACCTGCCCAAAGTCATGCCCTTCATCTTTTAACTCAGACCCACTTCTACTCTTGACCATGTTATTTTGTTAACAGCACCACTATACTTTTAGAGGACAAACAGGCTCCAAATGACACTGGTGATACTCATTTCTCTCCAATACATCTCACCAGCTGCCAAACTCTATAGAGTCTAATCATTTGTTTCCTATGCCCAGTATCCCTCCATCATCAGAGCACCTTCTTCTTCTTCTTTTTTTTTTTAGAGCACCTCTTTTCCTGGTTTGTATGGCCTTTGGAATCAGATGAGTCTATGTTTAAATCCTAACTGCCAACTACCAGCTGAGTGACCTCAGCAAAATTACCTAATCTCTCTGGGCCCAAATTTCCTCAACAATAAAGAGAAAAAATAACACCACCAACCTCATGAGGCATCTCTGTGGATTGAATAAGAACTGTTTGTCAAGACTTAAAAAGTCTATGCCTTGACACAGAGAATGGTGATCCTTTTAAGGACAGAAGTCAGATTATTCTTCTCTACTGCTCAGAATCTTTTTTTTTTTTTAATTTACTTATTTATGATAGTCACAGAGAGAGAGAGAGAGAGGGAGAGACACAGGCAGAGGGAGAAGCAGGCTCCATGCACCGGGAGCCCAATGTGGGATTCGATCCCGGGTCTCCAGGATCGCGCCCTGGGCCAAAGGCAGGCGCCAAGCCGCTGCGCCACCCAGGGATCCCTACTGCTCAGAATCTTTTGGTGGTTCCTATCTCAATCGTAAAGATTGTCACA